TAGCCCTGATTCCATACTCTCTTAAACTGTTTTCACACAATGTGAACCAAACCGTGTGTCTTCTTCTGATCTGTCTGTTCTGTGCAGCAAGCTCAAAGGAAGTGAGATCTGGCTGGTTTCAGCTGGACCATTTCCACAAGAAAAGCAGAATATCCCTGGGGGGAATAAAGTTCTGTTAATAAACTCTTTTTTCACTTGCCAAAGGAAACAGCAGAGAGTTGTCTAGAGAATTTCTAGGTTTAATCTTTTCTCACCTGTTATTGCAAGAGTGACATTACAGCAGCTCTCAGACTATATGAAAGAAAGTCAGGCTTCAGACACCTAGGCTGTAAAAGAACCACAACTGGTCCTGAAGAGCACTGCTTTACACTAACCAAAGGGAAATACTCAATAGAGGATGTAGCCAGTACCATTGTCATTTGCAGGAGTAACTCTTGATCTACCTGAAGGAAATTGAGTTTATGATACAGATTATGTCTCATGCTAAATGCAGTTGAATTCAGGGCTCAAAACTTGAGTCTTGTACAAAATTTGTCACAGACTAACAGTGATACTGCTAACATTCATTAATTTTAACTCTTGATATGATTTATTACTCACAAAGCTTTGTTGGATCCATATTAAAACTAAATTTATATTATTATAACTAACCTCTTCTCCAGAGACTATTGTATGGCAGATGTCAGCAAAATCATGAACAGTACTGGCAACATGAGCAGGACACCATTATTCAGCAATCACAACACCAGAACAGAGAACAGTTAAACACACTTCAGTGGTATTTTTCACCCTGTGCACAGTTAAATTGTGGAGAATCTTGAACAAAGCATTATCAACATTGAAACATAAATTAATTCAAAGAAGAATTTACTGCACCATGAAAAATGATTAAACATGTTAGGTTCGATGCAGCCTCCTGCTTATCAAATTCCTGTGCTACTGAAAATTATGAAGGTGTTCCTGGAGGAAGTTTGCCTAGAAATACCCTACCTATCATACTTCTTTCTAATGCTTTCCCTCTGTTCTACTACATAAGGACCAAAGGAATCATTTAGATTTTAAGTTCCAAAACAGACTAATGTATGAGATCAAAATATTAAAAAAATTGGAAATCCAGTATGTCAGAAATTACAGTAATTAAGAATCAGTTGATGTGAAGCACTACTTCTGTACAAAGAAAATCAAGCCTATTTGAAAAGATAATGACAAATATTTGGCCTGCACATCCTGGCTTTTTTTTGTATATCACAATATACCAGCTGAAAAAAAGTGACTACACAATTGCCATAAAATCATAGTTTTCAACACAAGTAGAGAAAATCAGGAAAACACATTATAAGAGGTTTTTGTAACAGCTGGCTTTTTGCTGAAGTAAATTTTTCAACTCCCACAACAGACATACTGGGTTGCAACTCGTATTTCAGCATTCCATCATTTTTTTTTTTTTTTTGTACCATGTCTTGAAATAATGAAATCTGTTTTTTCTGTCAGTGATATCACATCAGGGAAATATCAGCAGAAGCATTGGTAAAGACAGTAGTTCAGACAGATGTCATTAGCGTTCAGTTGTTTCAGATATTCTGACATGACAAAGCAGTATAGTTCCTTTGGTCTGAACCCCAGATCTGAACCAGGCAGACATGGTTCTGTCCAACACTACTAATTCCATGAGCCAAACCGCCGTGGAAATGTCTGTGGTTCACTTCAGCTGCAGCATTTCACTGGCAGCATGATTAAGACCAAATGACTCCTTGTCCTCTTATAGCACCTTTTGCTACTACTCTAGGGATATATGAATATGGTTGCTCAAGAGGGTTTGCCAAGGGAATGATAAAATTATGAAAGTTACTTTAGTTTCTCATGTACAAATGAGCAGGAATGACGAATAGCAGATCCTTTAAGAGTTTCCCCAAAAATAAAATATGCACCAATAAAGTCTGTTTCTTTTCTCTCTAGTAATAGAAAAATAAATCCTCTGGTTTTGAGCCTTTCTTTGAAATGTTCCAGCTTTATGTTATTGTTACATTTGAAAATGATTTTCAGAGGTTTTCTGTAAGTCCTTTTTTTAATAAAAATCTAAATTTAGATTTAGTAGAGAAACAGAAGAGAAACAGTACTTAGAAGTAAGGTGCTATGTCATACACATATCCTATTATGTGAGTTTACAGTATGGAAGTTATGGACACTACAGAATTTTGTTGGTGATGTCACTTTCCTGCAGTGAGAAGTACATAGAAGAATGCAAAAAACTAAAGGAACGCATATCCTTAACATATGGCTTTCCTCTACTGTTTTGAAGAAAACACTCTGGTCTGAACAGTTGATAATCAGACAAAAAATTAAGTTTGAAGTGAAATAAATATACCTGTATACAGTCATTGTTCCATAAGGACATAAGTAAACAGAAAAACGAACCTGATCTCTCAAGGTCTCCTACATGCACTGGAAATTATGTATCAGCGTATTTTAAGAACAAATTATCTACAGTTTTAATGAGGCTGGGATTTGAACCTGGTAGCCAGGTTCTTAGAAACACCAGTGAATCTGAAGTAATCCCTTGAATTGTCATGATGGGAGGAGAGTGTTTTCAGATCTCCCTTCTAATGGAGAAAATATTCCTGAAAAAATCTTTCTGGCTGATGGAAAGAATGACTACTGAAAAGAGGTTGAGTGGGTAGTTTATTGACTAAACAATTAGGGGTCTATTACAGTCAGTAAGGCATCTTGCTGTTCTGAGGTACTTCACATTGATGCTGTTAAATTGGTCTGACTGGTGGTTTTAATTACTTTTTTAATTATTGCTTTTAATTAAGTGCTGGCTTAAGTGCTATCTGTCAGAGGGACTGCACTCCTGAGTGGCAAACCTGGATTAAAAATGAGCGATTCCTGAAAGCCTGCTGCATAACAGCAGTTGTTTTAAAGGAAAATTAGTTCATAGGTTTGTGCTTATTCATTTAAATGATATTTAAATTTGATTTTTATACAATAAAAAGGGAAATGTCTATGAAAATAAGTATTTTTCTTTATGATACACTTAAAATACAGCATTAGAGAGTTGGAAGGGGTATCACAAGTTCATCTAACCCTTCCAGACTACCTCAGGAAAAGCAGCACCATACATCTGCTATTTCTGACAGATCCTTGTCCAGCCACCTCATTGATGACCTGCAACAGACACAAATCTGCCTTTTCCACTGCTTCATCAAAGCCTTTGTAATGGCTACTCTAAATATCCTTCCTGTTTTTCAACTCCATTACTTCTACACATGTCCAATTTATCCAAGGAGAACAGAGGATATCATCTTTACCTTTGTGAGCAGCCTTTTACATGTCTGAAGACTATCACAATGCTCCATCCCTTCCACCACAGCTATCCCACTCTGTGTTTTCTTCCTGGGCCATGACTTCCAAACCCCACCCTTGCTATTCTCCACCAGATTCTTTCTGATCTGTGTATTTTTTTGCCAACAGTCACTTAAACAGATTTCTATGCCAGCAAGTGCTGAGTAGAGAGGTTGCTGTGGGTGTTGCAATTCTGCAATATGGTAAATGTTCAGCTCAGCTTCATTTGAAATATGGATTACCAGTACCCAAAAGATGAAACTCTTATGAGGTCTCTCTGAAGTAAATGTTAGAAATGTGCTGGACACAGCTGTATGCAACAAGCGATGTGGGATAAAAAGCTGGTGGGACATCACATGATGCCGGTGGCATGACACACAACGCCACATTTTGCATGCTCCACAGTTTCCCCTCCTGGGAGATGCCACTGCAATATCGGCAGCTGCCCACCCTCGCGAGGAGTCAGAGGCAGCAGAAAGCACGAATTTCCAAAGCAAGTGTTTGTTAGAAATAACTGCTTCACAGGAGAAAAGGAAATATAATGAGGAGGGTGAACAAAATTTTTGCATTGTTGAACTGAGGACCTACAAAGTCAGCACAGGTAATGAAGATACTCCAGAGTATTTTTGAAAACAGGCTAAGTGCAGCTCGGTTAAAACGGGCTCGCTCACGCCCATCGACTTACAGTGACTTCTTTACGCGAGTGACTTCGGACTTGAGCCGAGGGAGCAGTCTGAGCGAGGACACGTTCCCTGCTTAGCGACACGTGTGGGGTTACACACACCGCGGAGGGCCGGTTTCCGAGCCGCCCTGCCAACTGGCTCGGGGAAGTTTGCAAGCGCCGGAGGCAGCCCCGGGTGGGACACACGGCACGGCCACCGCACCTGCGGCTGCCGGGCCCGCGGCTCCGGGGCGGGGCGGGGTCGGCTCGGCCCCGCGGCCCCGCCCGGCCCAGCCCGCGCCCCCCGCTGCCGCCTGTCCCCCGCAGCACAGGGCCCGCCATGGAGAGGCGCTGGCGCTGCCCGGAGCTGGGGAGCCGGGGGAGCGAGCGGAGGCAGCGGCCGGGGGCGGCACAGCCGGGCGGCGGGCAGGTGAGGCGGGCGGGGGGCGGGGAGCGGCCGGGCGGGCCGGGGGCGGCAGCCCTGCCCAGGCGCTCTGTTCGCGGCGGCTGCCCCGGCGCGGGGCTCGCTCCGCCCGCAGCAGCCCCGGCCGAGGTGCGAGCGCGGGGCGGGAGGGGACGGGCTGGCCAGCGGCCCCTAGGGCTACTGTCGGGGCGCTGCCCGGAGCGGCCGCTGAAGCCGGCGTTCCGTGTTGTGCCGTGCCGGCGGGTTTCCCCTGCCCCGACCCAGCGGCTGGAGATGAGCGCTGAAGCGGAGGGGCCGTCGCGGGCGGATGGTGCCGGCGCGGACAGCACGAGGTGACGCCGCCTCAGGTACCGTGGCTCCTCCGGCAGCCTCGCGAGTGCGGGCGGCGCTGGGCTGTGCAGCACCGCCTGACCTCCGCCCAATTCCAGGCACCGCCCGGAGGCAGCGGGGACGGCGCGGTGTCCCTGGGACGGTAGCCAGAGGCGACATTCCAAGCCTGGCGGGGCAGCCTTCTCTGCAGCCGTGTTGTGATTTTGATCCTGGAGAGTGTGGGCTGCTGCTGGCAGCTACAGGATGAAGTCGCCTCCCTGCTGCATGTCTCTTTCTTCCCAAGCATCCTTGGAGGAACCGGGGAGTAGCACATCTCTGGGTTCGCTGGAGTCCAGTGTTTTCTCTAGTGAGGAAGAGCAGGGGCCCCTGCTCCAGAAGGTCATTCCCTCTCTGGACTGCTTTACTATCAATGTAGGAGGCAGCCGCTTTGTGATGTCCCAGCAAACTTTGTCTTGCTACCCTGACACCCGTCTTGGCAAACTGGCAGTAGTGGTCTCTGCTGCCCGGGATGTGGCTTCTGGCCTCCTTGAGCTTTGTGATGATGCCAACCTTGTGGAAAATGAGTATTTCTTTGACCGGAGCTCACAGGCATTTCACTACATCCTGAATTACTACCAGACAGGGAGGCTGCATGTGATGGAGCAGCTGTGTGCACTCTCTTTCCTGCAAGAGATCCAGTACTGGGGTTTGGATGAGCTCAGCATTGATTCCTGCTGCAGAGACCGGTGAGTTGTGGGAAGATGAGGCTTCCTCATCTTGTGGATTGTGGGCTAGATGAGATCCACATCGACTTGCATTCAGAGACCCTCAGATGAGAGATCCAGCAGTGGGGATCGGTGAGGTAGCAGGAAAAGTTGTGTGAGTTGAGCCCCGAGTGCAGTGGATGGGTGTCAGAAATGGGAGATGTGTTGGGTGAGGTCACAGTTACCACTTGCTGTGGGAAAGGTTGCTGGTGAGGGCAAGATAGTGAGACAGTAACAGGAACAGGGTCTGGGATGTCCTGTAGTGGCTTCAAACTGGCCCTCGAAGCTCAAAATGTTGTAAAGGACAATGCCAGAGATGAAAAGGGTTGTGAAAGGAGAGATGCCCCTTCAATCATTCAGTTTAAGGTTATCACAGAGGGATTAGATGTGGAGTCAGACACAGTGCTGGGAGGGTTTGGATCCTGCCCACCTGCACTGTAATTTTGAAGGATTTCCAAATCCAAGCTGGAGAGGCAGAAGGGGGGCTGGTCACCTGCCAGGCTGAGTGTGGGTGGCATGGCTCCAGGAGGAGCCATGAAAGGAAGCATCGCACGTGGATGTAGCAGCTTACAGGGAGGGGGCAGCAACAGCGGGAACATGGCTCGCTGGAGACAAATTATAACAGGCAGTTTAGGAACGAGGTGGGTTTTGACTGAACCACCCCCAGGATGTTTCTGTTAATTCTATTTGCAGTTAATTTCCCACCATATTCAATGTTACTGGTTTTGGTTTTTTAGTATTGAAGAAATGAATTTTCTAAAGAGTGTAACTGCTATTTAGTTATAGCAGTTATGTCAAAATTATTAGAAAGAAGTAATACCATCCCAAAAAGATATTAAAGGTATCCTACCCTAGTATGGTTTAGTTGTTCAGCTGAGAAGATTGGAGCCTAGTTTTCATACCTTTCTTCCTTTTCTAGTAGGTGTAACTGAATGCTCCTACTACTTTAGTGATACATAGAGCTACAGACCTTTTTGACATATGCAGGACTAACTGTGTTAAAGACAAAATTGTACAACACCTTTGTCTAAGGCTTGAACTTTGCAGCAGTCAAAAAGAAAGATATGAAAGAAAAAGATTTTTTTTAGTGTACTGTGAGTGTTTATAATTGAAAAAATTCCACTTTAAATATACTCTTACTCTGACAAGACACTCTATATATTTACAGTCTGTAAGTTTTACTCAGTACAAATGCTTGTGCACTTTGTGTGAGAGCCCATATATCTAAAGAAAGAAAGATACCTTGTCATCTTCATGTGTATTGATCAGAAGTTCACCCATGAACTGCGTGGCTTTTATTATGCCTTCAGTTTTACTATTGCAAATATGGACTAGTGTAATAAAAATGGCATACAATTAAACAAATTTAGAACTGTTTAAAAACAGAGGATCTGGTTGTGCCAGGATTGCTTCTAAGAACTCATGTCGGTCTTGCTGCAGATTCTACTGTGGTCAACATGATCCATATAAATAAATCACTATCAGTAAAATTATTCTGCATATAGAATGTGTCACTGATGTGAAATGGGGTAATAGAAGTATATGAGTCAGTGGAACCATGCTGCAGGGGCTCAACAATAAAAGCCATTTGCTTGATAATAGGGTTTTCTGAGCTCACATAAGGTAAACTTTAATGTGTATTCTTCTGACTTGCATAGTGAATGATAAGACAAGTATCTGCCTATTTGTATTCAAAATCTCTTTGGGGGGTGTTCCTGGGCAGGTACTTCAGGAGGAAGGAGCTGAGTGAAGCCTTAGACATCAAGAAAGATGCAGAAGAACTGGATGCCCAAGATGAAGAAGAGGACTTTTCCGGTAGCCTCTGTCCCAATGTCAGACAGAAACTTTGGGAACTTTTGGAAAAGCCTGGCTCCTCTGCAGCAGCCAGGACGTTTGGCACCTTGTCCATGGTTTTTGTTGTTGTGTCAATTGCCAACATGGCCTTGATTTCAGTAGAGCTCAGCTGGCTGGCCCCAGCCCTGCTGGATGCCCTAGAGTACCTGTGCATTGCGTGGTTCACAGTGGAGTTTGTCCTGAGGTTCCTGTGTGCACGAGATCGGTGCCGCTTCCTAAGGAGTGTGGCAAACATCATAGACCTCCTTGCTATTTTGCCTTTCTACATCACCCTGCTGGTAGAGAGCCTGTGTGGTGGTGAGAGCTCCCAAGAACTGGAGAACGTGGGGCGCATTGTCCAAGTGCTGAGACTTCTCAGAGCCCTGCGGATGTTGAAGCTGGGAAGACATTCAACAGGTATATTTGGCCATGGCTGTGATACTTCTCAATTTCACTGCCTGCAATAGTTGTCCTGGGCACAGTCCTCCATTTTGTGTGTGCATTGCATTACACAATCTCTTAGCAGTAATGGCTTTTGAAGATCTTACTTTTGAATGTTGTAATTGAGTGATAAGGGCCTTCTCCAAAAAATTTTAGCTCTTCATAAAGCCTTGCATATTGTTTGCTTTGAACATTTACATAAACAGACCTCACTGTTGCATGCTGTAAATCATTCACCAGTCATTCATAGTGTGATAAATTTTAACACATATATATGTGTTGATTTTATTAGGGAAGAAGCAGAGATCATCAGCCCAGACTTTTTGTATGTTCCAAGGTCCACTAATGATAGCTGTCACAATTTTGTTTGTTTAAAATCGTGTGTAAAGAATTACGTCATGATTTTGTCCATGTCGTAGATCCTGAAAACAGCCACAGTGGAGAATGTTTCAGGGAAACCTTTGGAGGTGATGGGCTGAGGGGCTCTCTGGCCCCATTGAACCCACTGGTACTCCAGTGGTTTGTGGAGCCCATCAGGGGCTGCTTAGGCAGGAGGACCTGGGTGCAGCGCAGAACAGCAGTGCCAGGTTCAGCCAGAGTTCACCAACTGGTCTGGGGCCCTTGGTGCCCTGGCACTCGTGACAGGTGAATGAACAGCAAGCAGGGGTGGGATGTAAGGTGAAATACCTTTCTGTGAACCATCTTGTTTGCTCTCTCTGGTGAAAGGAAGGCATAAAAGTTAACATTTTCCAGTGGGAATTTATCAGAGGAAACTGGAAATTGTTGGAAAGTGTTGAATTTCCTCTTACATTTCCCCTGATTATATTACTTCTTTGTGGCATGTGCATGCCTGGCTACATAAAATAATAAAAACTGTCTTGGCATTTTCAAAATGATTTGATTATGTACCTACCTAAATCAGTGGAAAACATGGTGTTGAATTTTACAGGAGAAATGTTCAGCCAACACTAGCAACTTTGAAAAGCTAAATCCTAATAGTAAATCATTATCTCTGTCCTGCAATATTAGCTGTTCTGAAGATAGTGATGATCATTCTTGAAAAGCACCCAATGTGCCTTTTCAGAATTTCCAGCCATGAAGCAGGAATGGTTTGATGCCTGTCCATATTTTTGAAGAGCCCTCTCTGTGAACTGGACCAAATTCAGTAGGAGTTAAAGTGTGCTGACAGCAGCATAATGTGTCTTATTTTTGTTAACACTTAAAGGTAGTAAACCTGCCTGCCAGTGGCAGGTAGTAGCTTTGATACTACTCATAATCATAAGCATAATCATAGTGGTTTGGGAAGTATCATAATCTTACTCTCTACACTAGATTATGCCTATACTGATGTATAACAGTCCCTTCGAAAGCAGTTGAGAGAAAGTTTATAATCATTCAGTCTGGCAATGTGTTTTGCTTCATTACATGTTTTGCAGGGTTTGGTAGAGGTTTTTTGCAATGCTTTTACCCACTTTTGATGGTAGTTGTAATGTGAATGCAATCCTTTCTCACTGTGTTTTGAAAATAAGAAAAAGATTTTATCTCATCAGGACACTTTTGTGCTGACTAACAAAATGGTCATACAAAAGTATGTTGATTCAAGTTAAGTTTCCAATTTATTGCAATTTACTCTTAGAGAGTGAATGTGTTCATTCTGTTACTCAGTTTTGTGGCTCTATCAGCTTGAAATCAGATGTTTCAGATATTTGTATAACTGCTAACTTCAGGTAGACATACTTTCAAGGATGGTCTAAACACTTAGGTTTATATATTCTTAAATTAATTATTCAGTATTTGCCACAGTTTATATCACAATATTGAGTGATATTGAATTTAATAGTACCATGTCAGGTAAAAGTGAATTAATTACATAAAAATATAGTATTGTGATCTGGAGGTGTGCTGTCTTCTTTTTACTGGAATTAAAATGCCAGTTTCAAGGTACAAGAAGCAACATGTGCCTCAATTTAAACCACTTGGAGCAGTGTTATCATCATTGTGTTGCTTCTTTGGTAGGTTAGTTGCTGCCTACTTAGTTCCAGAATGCTAAATCCCATCTGTATGATTTAAATGTAGAAACTCACTGTTTTGATCTCCTGTCCAAAGAAGTGTGTTAATGTGCTTCTAAATACATCCTTTACCACAGCTCCTAATACAAGATGAGCCTCATACTTACCATGCATAGAGACCATTCTCCTTGCACATCCCTAGGCAGTAGTGATAAACCTCAGTGTTCAGGGCAGCTCTCGAAGCTCTTCTTGCTCTCTTGCCTTGGATCTGACAGGTGCCTCCCAGTGAAGCTTCACTCCAACTCCTACACTCTAAGACCTGACAGAGCTTCAGGCACTGCTCAGTTGTTTGGGGTGTCAAGATGAATACAAAAGCAGAAGATTTGTGTCTGAAGGCAGCAGCTTCTCTTGCACCAAGGAGGGGTGTTCACAGCCACAAGGAAGACATCTCTGTGGTACTTTGTGGAGCCATAGCAAAGCTGGGATCGCAACAGCACCCTGGCAGGAATGAGTGAGGCAAAAAAACATCAGTTCTTTTCTTCACTTTCAAGAAATAGCAACTTAACCCTCTCTGTGGGACAAGAACAAGAATGAAAATAAGAAATGAAAAAAGTAATTTCTACCCCTTTGGAAGCTGAAGCCAGCTCACTTGAGGGCTGTGATCTTAAAAACACTCAGGCTAGACTGGTGTGAGTGTGCAGCTACTTATGCTAAGTACTGTACTTCATCAAGGAACCACTGAGAAATCAGTTGTACCTCTGTCCATAAAATGTGTAGCTAGAGGGCAAGACTACTCCTCCGATATAGCAAAATGTATTTTAGTAACTTCAAGAATACAAGAGAACTGAAGCTGCATTTGTCATGTTCTCAGATGCTCCTCAGCTGTTGCCTTGCCCCAGGACCACGTTTTCAGGGACCTTGCTGGTCTCCTCTGGGAAGCACATACGGAGGGACTGGTTGAGGAGAAGTAGGGTATGAGCATCTTACTTGCAAAGGCAATGAGCATGTCTTTGAGAGGACACCATTGCATATTTAAGGCTGTTGTGCCTCTAGAGTCAGGTAAAGTTGAAACTTCAACACTTTTTGTGTTAAAACTTTACGGTTGTCTAAGTGCTGTGTAAACTGAAGCTTCTGATTATCAGCTTGTATTGCCAAGTCACTTTGGACAAAAAAGAAATAGAACTTGACCTGCATGGCAGAAATGCTTCCTCTTCCTCTTAGCAGAGCTGGGGCTGCTTGCCAGCCTCACACCAGCTCTGTTAAAGCACCTTAGCACCTTCCAAGCATGAGTAACCAAGCTGTCACAGTTCCTGGCAAGGAGTTCTCATGAGAAGCTGTAAGACTTGCTGAGGTGTCTGTGCTGGAACAGCCTTAGTTTGGCCATGTGCCAGGACTCAGAGACATTTTTAAAAGGTACAAAGTAATGTAGTAGTGTACTTTATACATGTCATTACACCAACTGATTCCCTTTAGAATGAGTTGTGGAGTCCAGTGACTTCTCTGATTCATAGATTTGCCTAGTAATGTTTCCTGACTTCATCTAAAGACATGAAGAATTATATCTTAATTTTAGATAAGTATACTAGAACTAAGAATAATAAAAAGAAAAAAATCAGACCCTGAACAGTTAGAGTAACTAACTATAGGAAAAATTAGAATGTCATCATTGTGATACAAAGATTTAAGAGTTACTCTTCTGCCTTGTTCAGTAGGAAGTTTTACGGGGCAAGGGTTCATAGGGTTCCTTGGAAATGAGAATTTGATCTGAGTTCTTGCAATTATCTCACAGAGCTTTTGCTCTGCTGATATTAGTGTTCCCAAAATATGAAGGCAGTCATATTTACAGAGAAAAGATTGCACTGATATATCTTATTCCCTTTGTGTTAAAGATTTAATATATATCATTGTAATAAACATTCTACAGATCATAGTTATAGTAATATAAGATCTCAGTATGGGTAAGTTCTTTACTGGAGTTTGTAGCAGATAGCATTGGAAGAAAACTCCAACATTGCCTCCAAACTCTACTGTATACTTCCAGTGTTTGCCGTACATAAAACTTCTAAAATCCAATAAACCTGCGGGGAAAAAGAAAGAGCCAAAAGCAAGAAATGTTAACATCTTGTTGTTTGAGACTGTCAAACAATCAAATTGCCTATAACACTAACGAGCACATGAAGTCTGCAAGCAGAGGCAGAGCCTCAGTAAGCTGTTTTGCAAACACTAGTTTAGTGAGAAATATACCTATGAAGGGTAATTCATAAGCACTATGTTTTTCTCATTTATTAGAGAAAGCATTTTTAAAGAACAGCATTAAAACCTAATCCAAAGTAATTCAAAAGATAATGTCAGTCTCCTATGTGTCTCAGCTGAATTGGAACCCTGTTATCTTCCTTCTTTCTTTATGTGTGCAATATTTATCCATTGCACTATTTTTGGATTTACTTTCCTGCTCGCTTTTGTGGGGCTGTCTAGCCTTGAAGCAGTGGCTCTAACAGGAATATAGGGGGTTATGGAGAGTGGTTCCAAGCTCCCTGTGCAGTCCCAAGTCCCTGTCCCTCATGGACAAAAGGACTGATGCAGAACATAGTCAATTAACAGGATTCATGCTTGCATTGAGAGGATATGCTTTGCTGCTTGCTTTGCTAGCTTGAGTTTGGCACAAGTGCAGCTGTTACTGGAAAACCTTTTAGTTTTGATGTCTACAGTGCAAGATAGCTTGGGTGGAAGGAAGAAGGGTCAAAGAGAGTCTGTGACTATTATAAAAGGATTGAAAACAGTCCTCAAAGAAAAAATTATTGAGTGAACTGAACTGGGCTCTAAGTACTCACACAGCAACACAAATTTGGTAACTAAGGGCTCCTAGGTCCAAGAGAAAAATATGGCAGTGGCTGGAAAACAGAGGCTTGGCACATTTAGTCTCAAAATATAAAGCAGGTGTTTTTAGTGTGTTTTTAAGGAGTTTCGAGTGGTGCTAGATCTTCTCTCACAGCCAATTAATAAATCAAGATAGTTTAGTTTATCTAAATTATATGTGTACATAGTTCAGGTGATAAGTAATAAGAATTCCTATGGTCTGTATCAAGAAAATACGAATGATGTCAAGTGTTCAGTCTAACACTGTGATCTATTTCTGTAAATCACTTTTTCTCAGCTTCTGCTTAGAACAGCACCTCTTTTTAGCCTACCAGGGTCATTAGACCAGCAGAGAGATGTGGTGGTCAGAGGCCATTATGAGCATAGTGACCATGAAATAAGAGTGTTTTCAATTCCTGGTGAAGTGAGGAAAGAGGTCAACAAAATCTCTCACATGGATTTCCAGCAGGCAGCACTTGGCCTGTTCAGGACACTGGTTCAGAGAGTCCCTTGGGAAACAGGCCTTAAAACAGAGGGCTCCAGAATGGCTGGACATACTTTTAGAAAGAAGTCTCGAAAGCTCAGGAGCAGGCAGTACCTATGTGCCTTAAGGCAAGCCAAGGAGGAAGAAGAACAGCCTGGATGAACAGAGAGTTTCTGCCAGAATTCAGAGAAGAGAGTTTATGACTTTTGGAAGAAGGAGAGGAACTTGGGAAGAGTACAGGGATTTCATTAGGTCATGTAGAGAGAAAATCAGAAAAGCAAAAGCTCAGCTAGAACTCAATCTGGCCACCAGTGTGAAAGGTAGTAAAAAGTGGGTTTATAAATACATTACCAACAAAAGGAGGGCCAAGGAAAATCTCTGTCCTTTATTGGTTGTGGAGGGGGGGTAACATTATCACCAAGGCTGAGGAGAAGGCTGGGGTACTTAATATCTTCCTTGCCTCATTGTTTAACAGAGAGAGTGGATATCCTCATGGCAGCCACCCCCCTGAGCTGGAAGACTGGGATAGGAAGCAGAATAGACCCCTGCAATCCAAGAGGATGTAGTTTGTCACCTGCTGTGCCACTTAGACACTCACAGGTCTCTGGGGCCACGTGGGATTCATCCTAGGGTGATGAGGGAGCTGGCAGGAAAGCTTGTCACCATGCTGGCCATCATTTATGCCTTCATTAACCAGGGAGGTCCTAGGTAGCTGGAAGCTAGCAAATGTAATGCCCACCAACAAGAAGGGTCAGAAGGAGAATCCAGGGAACTACAGCCCTCATCTTGGTGCTGGGGAAGATTATGGAGCAGATTATCTTGAGTGTGATCACATGGCATGTACAGGACAACCAGAAGATCAGGCCCAGCTCTGAGCTTAGGAAAGGACAATTCAGCCAAGGCTTGATCATCCTGATCTTTTATGACTACATCGCCTGCCTAGTGGATGAAGGAAAGGTTATGAATGTTGTCTACCTGGATAGCAATAAAATCTTTGTCTCCCACAGCATTCTACTGGAGAAACTGGAGGCCCTGAACTGGAGGCCCTGAACAGATGCACTCTTTGCTGGGGTAAAAACTGTCTGGAGGACTTGCCCCAGGGAGTGTTAGTGTATGGTGCCACATCCAGTTGGGGGCCAGTGACTAGTGGAGTCCCCAAGGCTCAGTACTGAGACCAGTCCTGTGTAATATCTTTATTGATGATCTGAATGAGGGAATCAGGTCAGTTTGTAGACAACACTAAGTTGGGTGGAGGAATTGATCTGCTGGAGGATATAGGAGGGTTCTGCAAAAGGATTTGGACAGGCTGGATAGATGGGCTGAGACCAACAGTATGATGTTCATTAAAGGCGAGCGCTGGGTTCTGCACTTGCATCACAACAACCCCTGTTGCAGTGCAACAGGCTGAGGGAAGAATGGCTGAAAAGGATCTGGGCATGATGAGCCAGCTGTGCCCAAGGGACTGCAAAGGCCCAGGTAATCATGGCCTGCGTACTGTGGCCAAATGGACTAGGGAACTATTTATCACCCAGTACTCAGCACTGGGAAGCCTCAAATCCTGTATCCAGTTCTGGACCCCTCACTACAAGAAAGACATGGAGGTGCTGGAGCATGTCCAGAGAAGGGCAATGAAACTGGTGAGGATCGAGAGAGTAAATCATATGAGGAGTGGCTGAGGGAACTGGGGTTATTCAGCCTGGAGAAAAGGAGGCTCAGGGGGAACCTTTTTGCTCTCTACCTCCTACCTGAAAGGAGGGTGTAGCCAGGTGGGATCAGCCTCTCCTCCCAGGCATCAAGCAACAAGAAAAGAGAAAACAGCCTCAGGCTGTACTGGGGAGGTTCAGGTTGGACATCAAGAAGAATTTCTTCATGGAAAGGGTGGTTAAGCTTTGAAATGGGCTGCCCAGGGAGGTGATAGAGTCACAGTCCTGGAAGTGTTGAAACAACTGGATGTGTCACTTAGTGCTATGTTTTACTTGACAAGCTGGTGTTGAGTTAAAGGTTGGATTCGATGTCCTTGGAGGTCTTCTCTAATCTTACTGAATCTGTGATTGTCAAGACATGTTCACCCACATTCAAAGAAAATATAAAGCAGTCAGCCTTTAAGTAAGAAATTTTTTGCAAAGATATAATGACAGCTACATGAATCAACCTACTGACAGCGTTTCTTATCTTTCAGGCTTGCGGTCCCTTGGGATGACTATTGCTCAGTGCTATGAGGAGGTTGGCCTTCTGCTTCTTTTCCTCTCTGTAGGAATCTCTATATTTTCCACTGTGGAGTACTTTGTTGAACAAGGTGTGCCAGGCACAACTTTCACAAGTGTACCTGGTGCTTGGTGGTGGGCAACAACTTCCATGACAACAGTTGGTTATGGTGACATTAGACCAGACACTACCATTGGTAAGGTAGTAGCCTTTATGTGTATACTATCGGGAATACTGGTTTTGGCTTTGCCAATAGCTATAATAAATGACCGTTTTTCTGCTTGTTATTTTACTCTGAAGATAAAAGAAGCTGCTCTTCGGCAGCGTGAAGCTTTAAAGAAACTCATGAAGAACTCGTCCAGCGATTCAAATATCAATGTTAACTTGCGAGACATATACGCACGCAGTGTCATGGACATGTTGCGGTTAAAAAGCAGAGAGAGAGCAAGTACAAGGAGCAGTGGCGCAGATGAATTTTGGTTTTGACTTTGGATGTGATGATTTTTGGTTTTGGCTTTGAAGTTATTTAACTTTGTGTAGCACATAGACTACTTCAGAAATTTAGTATTAAGTATCTCTTTTTTTATTATTTGCCACACAGTGTATTTGCTTTTCCAGGTGGAGTTTTACTTACTTGGACAGACTGAAATATGTATTGTATACAAAAGGCAGAATTCATAACATGGAATCTCTCAAGGAACTCTAAAACCTGCTTTCAGGACTGGATCGTGCTAGGTGAGATAGGAAATAATGGATCCATGAAAGTAAAACAATGATGCAAGCATTTGTCTAATGTAAATCCCTACTAATGTATCATAATAAAGTCTTGGTGAAAATTGCTACAGTGTTTTGAATTTTAAACATCTAGTTTTTGTATTTGCACTTGAAGAATAAAGTCATTAAGGAAAACTGAAAAGGGAAGTCTAAGAAAGTGAAATATTGATTAAATTTAGGATGACATACCTATAACTAGCTTAATCTTGATCCCCTTCTTATCTCCATCTTCTACCCTATTTGTATGATAAAAAGGTATCTGGGGTAGCATGAGGGTTGGGGGGAGGGAGGAGGGGGTGGGTTTGGAATTTCCTCATTTGCAGAGAAGCAAAGGGCTACCAGATACATAATGGATATTAGGAGATAGGTGGAAGTATCAAGGAGATGCGAGATCTATAGCAAAGTATGAAACAGTCATTAAATAAGTGCCATAATATAGAACAACATCTGTAGTTGCTTCAGAAGTTGCAGGAGCTAGTACAGCCTTTGCAATACAGAAATAATTTACAAACGTAGTTTAAACTATGTCTTCTCTATGTGTTTTGATTCCCGTAACTTATTTTTGTAGTTAAGCGGTTTTTGTGCTCAAGTCACCACTGGATAACAGGAAAAGCAGAAATTGTAAAAGATAACAAGCTAGTGATTTCTCTGTCTCCCATTAAAATTGTAGGTATTCCAAGTGAACCAGACTTTTTAAAAGTTAGTTATCTTCACTGATACATTATTAGAAAAATGCTTCATTAAAATATTTTGTTTCAAAGGAAAAATGAGCACTTTTTGGACTGAATGCTTAATTTATGTAGTCATCGAGGTAAAAACCTAAAATAATCAAAGGTATTTTTGGTCTAATTTCCCACCACCCACCTCTCCAGTGGCCCAATACTATTCTTAGCAAATAAAGCTTTTCTTTAATATAATTTCACTAATCTAGACTTTGACAGTCCCATAGAATGCATATAACTCAGCTAGTAGGTAAAATTTAAAAATTCACAAACCTCTCACTTTTCACATTTCTTTTGGGCAATATAAATACTAAAAAGATACATCTATTAACTGTGTGTTATTAAGTTTTATCTATTTATGTACATCAAAGGCTTAAACTGCATTTGAGCATATATGAATGGGTGAAATAACCCAATTTTAATAAACGTTGAATAATACTTGTTTTGAAATAAGAGTGTGTTTTTCTGTTATTCCCTGTAAATAATGGTGTAAACATAATACAGCAACCAAGATTTTCAAGGCACCTTGATGCAAACTTGTAGGAGGGGGCAGTCTGTAGGAGTGACGGGGGCTTGCACGGTCGGGACAGACGGAGAAAAGAGATCTCTGAAGCCAGGTCGTGGAACTTGGGGTTTATTGCAAAGGGCCTGGGTGCAGGGCCCTGCTTGGAACTGCCAGCTGCAGCTTGGGGCAGGCCCAGGAGAAGAGGGGGGTAGAGAGGATGAGAGGGAAAGAGCATAAAGGCATAAGAGAGTAAAAGGGGTAAGAGAGTAAAAGGCAAGAGAGTGAAGTTCCTGTTACAATACAATAAATCATCTTCTGTGTTGAATATTCTGATTCTCACTAACTAATTTAGTACAATATACAAATCTTAGAGCATTTCTATACAGCCTATAAGAATCACTACATTACCATACTGTGCTACATTTTAAACTCTAAAAACTACTCTTCGGACCCCTTCTGCCAAGCTGGCAGGGTCTGCTCAGACTCTTGGACCTGCCTGCAAGCAGAGGGTTTTGTTTCATCAAAAGGGGATTACTTTCAGCTGGCCACACTCTTGTTTTCCCGTTGTTCAGTAACTAAGGGATCTCAAAGCTTGCTTTCATTTCAATCTCGCTTATAGTCTCTATATTCTCAAAATCTTTTGCGAGACAATCATATTTATAAGGCTTTCCTGTTTCATCTTCCCTAACACAAACTGAGCAGGATTTTCCATGATACTTCTGATTTGTCATCTGGCATCAGTGAGCATTTTGATTTGGGACCAATGCAGCACAAAAAACTGTCACCAGGGTCAGAAGATAAACACTGGATACCACCAGAGATTGCCTTGGTGTGAAAATTTGTAGGTTATGCTGTGGTAAACAGAGAGCAACTATATTATCACAGTATTCTCCTCTCCCCAGATACTCTATGAATCCACCACAAAACTCCCAGCAATGTCCAGGAGACAAAATTAATTCTGCAGGGGAAGGTCTGGTGCAGCCCACTCTAGGTTATTATTTCATAGCTCTTTGGAGCAGGAAGTCTCTCAGGCTGCTCAAATTGTACAGTCTGTTTCTCATTCAAAAGTCATTCTAATTATAGAGAATTAGGAAGAAGCTTTCATTGTGGGAAGGCTGTTTTGTAATGTCTTTTGTGCTGTCTTGTACAGCATCTGATCTGTATTTGAGAAAGGAAATGCAGTCAGATAGCTGATTGATTCTCTTTAGGGAAAGGCGGCTTTATCGTATCCTGTGCTTTTTATGACGCACTCGAAAGAATGAGAGAAATATTCTGGGATGTATTTGTTGATTCACTCCTTTGACCATCTCTGGAGATGATTTCCTAGAAATGCCCATGGGAGAAACATGCTCAGGCTTTTTCAAGCAGTTGCTTTGTGCTCTGTTTTCAGACCTCTTGATTTTAAAATCAGTCTCCCAAGCAGTGATTGTCAATCATGTTGTTTACACAGAATAGTCATCTTTCACGTTATGGGCTGAGACTAGCAAACCTTTTTACAGAGGAAGGCCAGTTCTGCTTTCAGCTCTTACAGACAGAAGGACCAGAGCATTCATACTGAGAAACACACAGTACAGGACATCACAACTCTAAAAAAATGAAGGTACACCATGTATGTGCTACCATAGATTTAGGAAATAGCTCAGCCATCACTAAGGCACCAAATTAAGAATGTAACTTTGCTATCTTTAGAATATCACACTAAAGACAAGAAGCTACCTTTTGTCCTCACTTCTGTTCTGCCATTCTGCAGCAGACTTGGCAGACATGATTGGTAACATTGGCTGAAAATTGAGTATTTTAGCTCTAAACATCAAGCATTTTCACAAACTGACATCAAGGATTGTAGCTGCAGCACATAGAAAGAAGCCCTGAAATTATTTCTGTTCCCTAATACAAGAATTAGTAATAGTGAAAATTATAGAAATATATAGAACAGTTGGAGTAGAAAAGGATCTTAAAGATCATCTAGCTCCAGCCCCCTTGGTGTAGGCAGGGACACCTTCCACTTGACCAGGTTGCTCAAAGTCCCATCCAGTCTGGCCTTGAACACTTCCAGGGATGGGACATCCACAGTTTCTTTAGGTGTGTGTGTCGACACAAGCAGGCAGGTGGGACAGCCACAAAGTCACTGTTAGAACGCAAAGAGTCTATTTATTCCTCTTCCCTTGCTTTCAGGGGGACCCTAAAAGCAGCACCCGGACAAAAATTCATAAAGAAGACACAGACACCTTTAAACTTACATGCTAGAGAATCACTGGCCTGCTGTTCACTCAGGCTGCAAGGTCACTTGATTGATTTACAGTCCTCCTTGACAGTTTAATTCATATCTTCCAACACTGGGCAATCTTACTACCCTCATTGTGAAGAATTTCTTCCTAAAATTAAATCTAAACCAACCTCTTTCAGTTTGAAGCCATTCCCCCTAGTACTGTCACTATATTCGCCTTGCAAAAAGTTCCTCTTCAGCCTTCGAGGGGCAAAAACTTCAATGTAGACAGTCTGAAAAATCTTTCATTTTTGTTTATAAATGCTTAGGGATAGCTTTGCCTTTGAGCCAGTGTAGTCCAAACCCACCAAAAATTTTTAAGCATCACTAAAATTGTTGTCATTTTTACTTTGAAGAAAGGCAGCATGGATCCTGGGTCACATTAGGCAGAGCATTGCCAGGAGATCAAGGGAGATAGCGCTGCTCCTCAGCCTGATGAGACAGATCTGGGTGATGTGTCCAGTGCTGGGCACTCCAGCACAAGAAAACAGGGACAGGTTACTGGGGGTAGTCCAGCAACAAAGTGGAGGCCCAGGTTGCAGAGATCAGCACATTGGGAAACTCTTGAGTCCAGGAGGGGCAGGTGTGCTGGTAGCTGAGGGGGAGGGATTTATCAATTCTGGGGTGTTTTAGAAAGGTATTTAGAAATTCATGTCTGCTGGTATTTTACATATTACTTCTTGTAGTGATTTTGATCTTGAATACATACTTCCATGATCACTTTAATTACTGTGTTGTTAGTAAGTTAATAAACCACTTCAAACTTGATTTGATATTAACTATGTAAATTGAGCAATTTTTCCTTCAGAGAGGAATTTTGCTGGTCAAATCTGAGCTTGTGGTATTGCAATGGCTTGTGGCCATGGCAGTATGGTTGAGAACAAAAAGGAGCAAAAAGGAAAGGAGAAAGTTAAGAGTTTTGTAAAGTAATTTAAGTTTTCTGACATAGCTAAGTGTTTTCTTCTTGTTATGATTGATGAGTGACATGTTTTTCTTATTTGCTACAGCATTGTCCTCTCAAAGCTCCATTGAAGTATCCATGCATAAACACAGCTTTAGCAGGACATACTCTGTTGAGATGCTCACCACCCAAACTGTGCTGGAGCAGCTGTTGCTGATGTCTCCAGACACAGCTGTCTGTGCTCTCCCACACAGCCTCACTGCAGAAATGGCAGAGCAGGCTGTAGTCACACCTCTGATTGCAGACAGGGGTCTTCAGGCTCTGGGTGCTTGAAAAGGCCATTCACCAAAGAGGAAGGCTGGAGTTAATTATGGCTGTAAGACTGAAATGCCTTATTCAATTACAACCTCTTGTCAATAAGGGGTTTTCTTTTGAGAGAGAGAGTTTTAATGAGTTCTGTAATAATTGCAGTTCTCCTTTTGTATAAACACAAATACTGGAAGTCACGTACATCTCCAGACAAAAGCACAGCTGCCACAGGCTCTGTTTGTAGCAGTTTGGATGCATTTAAATTTGGTAACTAGTGAGCTCGAACTAATGATCAGTCAATAACTGAAGTCATTCCTTTATAAAATGGGTTTTAATTAAACACTAATCTGAACAATTTAGTT